TCTGACCAATAATGCATTTTATCTTCTTCAGCTTTACTAACCTGAGAAGTAAAGAAAAATGGCATCTCACTTCTTTTTATTTGCAATGATTTGCTGGTGGCCTTTGGGATTCTGATTCTGTTGCCAATATTTTTCTGAATTCTTTCAGCTGTGTGCCCCCAGCAACCAGGACCAGCCTTTCAATTGGTGTTCCCCAATTCTTTATCCAATCCAGGAAGGAGTCTGGGGGGACAGAACCCAGCTGGGCAGTGCCCTAAGTCAGCACATTATTTAGAGGTGGATCAGCGACCTAGCAAAGAGGGGAGCACTTGGGGGTCCCATGGCTTCGGGCCGAGCCCCCTAGTTTTGTAGGGACCCTCATGCTTTGCAGAGCAGCCTCAGAGACCGCCTCTTACAGGAAAATCTCATGGACGCCTTTGCCATGTGGGCAGAAGAACGGGGCAGCCACCCCACCCAGTGACACCAGGTCTTCCGTGGTGCTCCTGGGACGCTACTGCCCATGCTCAGCTGTGTGAACCTTGAGACCTTTCGATCCAGTGTCTCCATTCTTCGGGGTGGGGGGTGGTGACTGCAAGGTCTCACGTCCCGGACTGGGGGGCACACAGCTGGCACCTTCTTCCCTGTCAGCCCCGACCTCCCAGGGGAAGGCAGTTTGGTCCCCTGTCCATTGTGCGTCTAGAATGGGGCTTCTGTCTGCCCAAGATTCCACATCACTGCACATTACTAGTTTTTATTCCAAAAGAGGGCTTTAAAAAAATATTATGAGTCGACAAAGGTCTCCAAGGAATTGTAATGGAAACATAATTCTAGAACATTCAGGCTACTGATCGTCACGATGGACATGCCAACGGAGGGGACATGCCTCAAAGACAGGGGCCATACAGAGGAGACCGGATGGGCAGGTTAGGTGAACTGGCTTTCCGACTGGTTAAACTGGGACTTACCCAAAAAACAATAAAGGCCACTATTGGTTGAGCCAGGCACTGTGGTAAGGACTGGGCTTATTTTAAAGAGTTTTCTGCACACCCTGTCAGGCAGGGATTTAAAGACCCGCTCTTTAAATTCCCATGGGGTCTTTGTAAATCCCAGCAGGCTGGAATTCAGCCACAACGTGATACAACTGTTACAACCAGTGACCAGCAGATGGCAGTGTCCGCCAGCCCGCTGCTTTTGTCCCAACCCGAAGGGCTGGGAGAGGTCCCCTGTGGAACTTCTGGGAAAGAAACCATCCCACTCCCTCGTTTGTCCCCGCCCCTCCCCGATGCAAAGGCCCAAAGCCACTGTGACGGGTCGTCCCAGTGGCCCGGAGCTGGGCTGCTGCCCACTGAGTGTGGATGCCAGAGCAGTTGCCCAGGGTAACCTGGGGCAGGGCAGCCCTGGGTTGAGCTTGGGAAATTCCTCGCAGCCCAAGGAAGCCCAGCCTGAGCACCAGGCGGGACGTCGAGAACCAGAGCCCGGCTGGAATTTTCCCACACCTGCGGCCCAAGCGGGCCATCCGGGCCTTGCTGGGGGAGGTGTTTGCAGCACCTCTTTGGTAGGGTGGAGATCAGCACCACCAGATGTAGTAGTGGGGGCCAGCAGGCAGCTGTCTCTGCAGGTGTGGTCCCCAGTTCCCCTTTCCTCCCAGGGACCTCCCAGGGACACCATCCTCAGGACAGAGCCCCAGGCTAACTCTCTGTCCAGCTTTGAGTTGCAAAGGCCAGGGGCCACGGTGGGCCAGGCGGCGGGCAGCCTCCTGGCTGGGTCCCTAGCAGTGGCCCCGCGCCCACACGTCCTCCACCTCTCACAGGGGAACCCTCCGTGGACATTTGACTGCCAGCCTCACTGTGCATTTGTGATCTAACGCCAGGAAGGGCCGAGGGACTTGCAGCCCAAGGTTAGAGGCAGGATTTGAATTTGGGTCTCTTGACTCTCAGGAGCACCAACCAGTCACAGTCGGGGGGCATCTGCTCTATGTTCCAAAATAGTGTCTTTCTGCAGGGACCCAGCACCCCCCCCAAGAGTGGGCAGGGCAGAGGCAGAGCCCTCATTATGCCTCACCTCCAGGGTGCCCAGGGGAGAGCTGGGGCAAGACCTGGAGATCAAAAGCACAGGACCACAGAGAGGACCACTCACCCCAGGTGGCTGTGATGCCAAGTAACAGGGCTCTGATCAATTCCCCTCCCTGGAGACGTGGTTTCCTCCTATGGACAAAGTGCAGGCCACCTCTAAGGGACCTCTGTGTGCTCATGCCATCAGACACAGAGGTGTCTGGACGCAGCAGGAGGTGCCCGCTGGAAGCTGAGCAGGCTGCCCCTACAGCTGGCGGTGCAGGTCACTGCAAGGTAGCTAGCAGAATCCACGACTAACTTCCTCAGTGGCACTGATGCACCACGCCAGACGCATGTTCCCAGGTGGCCTGTGAACTGCCGCCGCAAAGTCGCCTGGGAGAGATGGTTGGCTCCCATGGTTCTGGTATAAAGGACATCATCACAATCAGAGCTCCCATGGGGAGGCCGCCCGGGGTAGGGAGCTCCCTGTCTCTCTCTGCAAGTCTGCAAGGGCTGCCGGGAAGGTAATTTGCTCTAGTTCAGGCACGGCAAGGAAAGGTGACCTACGTAGTAACCTAACACATTCTTTCTGACCCTGGAATTCTGTGACCGAAGATCAAAAGCTCTGAGACAGCGAACAGCTTTTGGAAGGGATGGATGAACAGCAAACTGTTCTCCGAGGTAAGGACCCTGGGTGAGAATGCAAGGACCACCCTTCCCCACCCCAGTCGAGAAACGCCCCCCTTCAGGCTGCTCTCCCAGTCCTCCGTCCCACCCCCCTCTTGGAGCGGAAATCCCCCTCCTGTCTCTGAGACAGTTGGAGGCTGGGATTCCGGACATTGGGGGTGGTCATTGGACTGAGCCAGAAAAAAGTGAGGATGCCGGTACCCAGCTTCCTCCCAGCCTCCTCTGAACTTCCTGCACCTGCCTCTGGGCCTCATCCTCAGCTGCCCAGTGACCCCTGGGGTGACACCCAGGCCAGAGGAATTTCCCTCCAAAATGCGCTCAGCAGCGCCTAGGGCACAGCTCTCAGGTGCCCCTCCTACCTGGCCCACCTACCAATGGCTCGCGGCAGTACTCCCCTCCCCGCCCGCCTCCGGGGAGGAAGCCCCATTCTGAACTTTGATGAGCCTCACCGGGGACTGGTGACTTTGAGGCAGGCTTGTGGCGCAGCCTGGTCGCCTGCAAGACAGGCCCCTGGTGCCCAGACCTTCCCAAGTTAATCTTGGGCCTTTCTTCTCCGCCCATCCGATCGGCCTGGGGGCTATGAAGAGTGCCCCCCTCACCAGGCCTCTCCTCCCGTTCCCACTCTCGCTCCCTGCTCGCCCGGAGCGTCCCTGTTTCCAAGTGGCCCTGTTGGCCCCGGCCACGGCAGGGTGAGGAGTTCGCTCAGGAGGAAGCAGCCCCCTGCGGCGAAACTCGGGAGCCTGGGCCGGAGTTGCCGGGAGTTTCCGCCGGGCTGCATGTCCTGCGAGGGTCAGAGCGTGGTGCACCCCGGTGAGAGGCGGCTTTGGATTCTGTGATATCACGTTGATGCTGATCGCCCACTCGAAGTGACCGTGACGCACCAACCCCGTCTAGATTTTGAGTTCAGTGGCAAATGCAGTTTTAGAGAAAAAGGACGCGCATGCCCTGCTCCGGGGGTCTGCTCAGCTCAGCCCCTCCGTGTGCCTAACAGCGCGTGTCTTTCTGCTGGACCTTCCCGCACTCGGGAGACACCCCGGCTGCTGGTGGAGCTGAGCCAGCACCCGCCTACGACCAGGCTTGCCTGCCTCTGCCCCTCAGATGCGGCCTGCCCCTGACCCTTGTGTCGGGAACCTGCCCCTGGCGGCTCCGGACACAAGCGCTCCGCTGCCGCCCGCGAGAGTGCGCTCCGGGGCGCGCCCTCCACAGACACCCGCTCCACGAGATAACCGCGGAGGGGGAAAGAAGTACGGGGCTCCCACCCCGCCCCTGGCTCTTCGCTGCCCGCCCTCCGGGCTTCAATATACCCGGTAGCCCGTGTCCGTTCGCCTGACCCCTAGCAGGCTGGCAGAAGGTCATCACTGTCACCAGAGGAACTGCGGGCGCCGCTCCCGCGCGGGTGTCTTCTCTTCTCGCCCCGGGGCTGCCTTGTAATTCCTGGGCTTCTTCACGATCTGGGCTTTTGCTTAGGCGCACGTTCCGCGCCCAAACCTTTGCTCTCCGAGTGTCGGTCCACGTTCATCTGTCTTTCCGGCCTGCCCTTGCCTGCACGTCCAGTCGCTCCCTCTCTTCCCTACGTGTCTGTCCCCTTCCTTGCTCCGGCAGCCCGCTCCGCTCTTTGGGGGCTCTGGCAGAGGGTGGGGAACAGTCCAACAGGTTATCAAAAACGTGGCGGCACTGTGCGCCCTGTGGCCGCTCACGGCGCCGTGGCCACCAGCTCGCAGCACCGACGCGCGGGGCCGAGCCTTTCCGCGGCCCCACCTCTGCCGCCTCCGGCACTAGCGGAATGGGAGCGGGGAGGGGCGGGTGCTGCTCTGCAGGGAGCGGGGAAGAAGCTGGGCGGGCGGCGGGTAGGCGAGGTTCCCCGGAGTCTCTCAACCTGGAGGGCGCGTTTGGCTCGGGCACAGCGTGGGCGGAGGGGGGGCCGCCGCGAGGCCGTGGGGCGGGGAGGCGGGGCCTGGTTCCGTGCGGGAGCCGCCGGCGGGTATCGCTCGCCGGTCCAGAGCAGGGGTGCAGCCGTCCGGCGCGCGGGTGGGGGAAGCGCCTGCCCCGACTCCGCGTCGGGCGGGTGTAGGGGGCGCGGCGCTGCCGCGCAAGCGTTCGGCAGGGGGCGCTGCTCCGGGCGTCGGGCGGGGGTGGCGTGGGGTGGGGTGGGAGAGGCGGGGGGGCCGCCGCTCGCTGCACACGCTTCCCCCATTATTAAACACTATGTTCAAAAGGCGCCGGGGGACTTCCCGGAGCCACGGAGCCCGCGTCGCCCGCCCGCCCGCCCGGCCCACGGAGCCCATGGACCTGAGCGCGGCCGCCGCGCTGTGCCTGTGGCTTCTGAGCGCCTGCCGCCCCCGCGACGGGCTCGAAGCAGCCGCGGTGCTGCGGGCAGCGGGGGCAGGGCCGGCCGGGAGTCCGGGGGGCGGCGGCGGCGGCGGCGGGAGGACCCTGGCCGCGGCGGCGGGCGCCTCTGCCGTCCCAGCCGCCGCGGCTCCCGGGGCCCGCGCTTCGCGCCGCGCCACCGGCTCCGGCTTCAGGAACGGATCGGTGGTGCCGCACCAGTTCATGATGTCGCTTTACCGAAGCCTGGCCGGGAGGGCTCCGGCCGGAGCAGCCGCCGCCTCCACCTCGGGCTCTGGCCGCCACGGCCGCGCGGACACCATCACCGGCTTCGCAGACCAGGCGACCCAAGGTACCCCCGCCTCCACCGCGCCCGCCCATCCTGTCCGGCCCCGGGCGGAGGCCGCCGCCGGAGCCGTGCCCCTGCTCCGCTCCATTCGCGGTGCGGCCCCCGTCTCAGCCTCAGGTGTTGAAGGAAGCTTCGCCGAGGCCCACGCATCCGAACCTACTGCTCGTGGACAGTGGCGAGAGCTGCGGCAGGTCGCGGGGCCCGGCCCCGGAGGGCTGAGCCGGTCCCTCTGCCGGGTGGCCCTGGCCCTGCCGCCGGCGGGTGCCCTCGAGGGGGCAGGCTGAGTCGGAGACCCGGAGAAGCGAGAGGAGGGGGGACCTGGCCGAGAGAGACCGAGTGGTGGTAGCGGCGGTGGCTGCTTCGTCGCGGCCATCGCGGCAACTCGCAGTCTCCGGGGCTGGGGGGCGGGGGGGGGCGGTGTTGTACAAACTGGAGGTAACTCGGGGGCACGCGAGACAGAGGCAGGCATCAGACTAAAGCAGATGGCCCCAGAGAGGCCGGCTAGCAGCACCAGGTACGAAGAGGGTCCTCTTCAGCAGGCTGCGTTAGGGCGCAGGTGTGCCGCTGCGGTGCCCGCGCGGGCCCCGGGGCCAGCGGAGGTCGGGGGCTCGGGCACGTGGGGCGGAGAGGAGAGCGAGCCACCGCGCCCCAGGGCAGGCCTCTCGGGGACCAAGCGCCCCACCTCGCGCGGGGCCAGCCCCTCCAAAGGTAGGACGGGGGGGCGAGGCCGTGCAGACTGCGGTGTCATCTGGATTTTATTAATCTCTATTGATGTCATTAAAGCAGACAGATAGGGGAGATTTAAGTAATTTCGGCCTTAATTCTAAACAGCCAGAGGCCCAGCGCGGAAGGGAGGAGAGAAAGGAAGCCGAGTGGGGATGGGAAGTTGGCGTTGCTGCAGACGGGCTCTGCTGGGGTGCAGTCACCAAAATCACCTCCCGCTCCGACACACACACAGTGCCCGCCAGCAGACCACTCTGCTTCGGGTGCAGGGACACCCCCGGACCCATGGCCCTCCAGTCCGCTGGGAACTTCTGAGCGTCCTTCTAGGCTCCCTGGGCTGGATGCTCCCGGGAAGCCTGAGGCCCGGCATCCAGGCCCGGAAAGCCCCAGCCCCAGTGCTGCCGCGTGGCTGCCCGGTTACGGGAGAGCCCGGGTGTGCAGGGCCCTGGGCGGGCGGAGGCGCCAGGTGCTCTTCTTTGGCCATGTCAGGCCTACCCGAGCCTCAGCCAGAGCTAAGTCCTTTCCTCGGGCGCCAGCTTGGCTGGCATGGCTGGTAAGGCTGTCTGTCCTTCCTTGGGGGGGGGTGCAGCAGCAGCACCCCGAAGCAGGAAGGGGCTGCACAGCACACTTAGAGAGCTCCGGCAAGCAACCCCCTGGGGGGGGGGAAGCAGTGTGGTGTACGTGCGTGGCGGGAGGAGCGTTTGCCCGTTGCCTGCCCTGCCTCGTTCTCCATCCCGAGCCTCACCTGGGAGCGGGGCTGCCTGAGGCTCCCAGAGGCCACCCGCGGCACCCAGACTTGGGACCTCGGGAGCCCCGGGCCTGGCGTCCCCCGTGGTGAGCAGCTCTCTGCGGGGGGGGGGGGGGGCAGTGCGCACAGTCTCTGTGTTTGGGGCAAAACGAAACCATATGACCCTCTTCAAAGAGAGCTCCTTATCTGCCGTTTGGTGGAATTTCAACTCTTTCTTTCCCCCCTGGGCCCCCAAAGAAAAAAAGTGCCCAGGACCAAAAATAAAACCCAAAAGCCCCAGATAAGTCATAGCGGAGGGAAAGAATAAGTCAGCGAAGGGACTGGTGGGTCCTGGAGGTGAGACCTAATTCGGCCCACTGTCCTCCCCCCGCAAGGCAGTCTCGCTGCCCCAAACCCTTCTCAGAAGGTCCCTTGCACTCCTTGGCCACCTTTTGCCCTCTGTCAGAAGTCCAGGGAACACGGGGAGAAGGTGATTGTGGAGTTCCCAATCCCGACCAGCAGCGCTTACAGCTCTGAGACTTGGGGATGAGCTGCGCCCCTGTCTGGGTCTCAATTCCCCTTGGGCAAAGCAAGGAAGCTGGGCTTACGAGGGGCGCACGAGAGGGTCTCTGGACCCCTGAGGGCGAGTCCCCTTCTGCACGAACGGCAGGGCCCCAGCCTGCATGGGCTGGCTGGAACGTTCAGAGTGAAGGAGCAGAGTTTTTGGGGACAAGAATATTTCGTTTTGTACATCTGGGACTCGGCGGCTCTCCTGGGGGCACAGCAAGGCAATAATGAGCAGTCCCGGTATGCCTCGGGACCGCGGTAAAACTGTTGGCCTGGACTCCGGGCCTTGGAGAGGGCGCACGACTTCCGAAGCGCCTACGGGCGTCCTGGTCTGCGACCAGTCGAAAGTCTGGCCTCCAACACAGTTCCCGCACATCAGTGGCTCCCGGGCAGGCAGCGGAACTGCAGTGGCCTTAAGTCCCAGACGGCTGCGGGGGTGCGCTCCTGCTCCCGCACCTCTGCAGTAAGTGTGTGTGCGCGTGTTGTAGCGGTGGAGGGACTTTTGACTCCATGGACCAAAGCCCGGTCCCAATGTTTGGGGCGAAGGCTTCCTTCCCGCTGGACCAGAATGGCAGCTGTTCGGCTGGGGCGGAGACGTGGGGGCAGGCGCCTGCTGAGGCAGGCCTTAGTCTTGCAGCCCGGTTGGGCCGTTTGCAGTTCGGAAGCCTCGCGACCAGGACTGCGGATTTCGTTTTCATTTGGCTCTTTCTCTCTGTGTCTCTGCTCGCCCTCTGCAGACGAATCGGCAGCGGAGACCGGCCAGAGCTTCCTATTCGACGTGTCCAGCCTCTCCGATGCCGACGAGGTGCTAGGCGCAGAGCTGCGCGTGCTGCGCCGCGCGTCCTCGGAGCCCGAACCTGGCAGCGCGGTTCCTCCCCCGCTGCTGCTGTTGTCCACGTGCCCCGATGCCGCCCGCGCGCAGAGCCTGCTGCACTCTCGGTCCGCCGAGCCTCTCAACGGGGCGCGCTGGGAGGTGTTCGACGTGGCGGACGCCGTCCGGCGCCACCGACGGGAGCCGCGCGCCACCCGCATGTTCTGCTTGCTGCTGCGCGCAGTGGCGGGCCCCGCGCGGAGGCCGCTGGCACTGAGGTGGCTGGGCTTCGGCTCTCGGGGCGGCGGCGGCGGCGCAGAGACGGAGGATCGCGCGCTGCTGGTCGTCTCCTCCCGAACGCAGAGGAAGGAGAGCCTGTTCCGGGAGATCCGCGCCCAGGCCCGCGCGCTCGGGGCTGCGCTGGCCGCGGAGCAGCCGCCCGATCCCGGACCCAACACCGGGGCCCCGACTGCTGTCATCGGCGGTCGCAGAAGGCGGCGGACCGCGCTGGCCGGGGCTCGGGCCTCGCAGGGCGGCAGCGGCGGCGGCGCAGGCCGGGGCCACGGGCGCAGGGCCGGGAGCCGCTGCAGCCGCAAGCCGCTGCACGTGGACTTTAAGGAGCTGGGCTGGGACGACTGGATCATCGCCCCGCTGGACTATCAGGCCTACCACTGCGAGGGCGTGTGCGACTTCCCGCTGCGCTCGCACCTCGAGCCCACCAACCACGCCATCATCCAGACGCTGCTCAACTCCATGGCGCCCGAGGCGGCGCCCGCCTCCTGCTGCGTGCCCGCGCGCCTCAGCCCCATCAGCATCCTCTACATCGACGCTGCCAACAACGTGGTCTACAAGCAGTACGAGGACATGGTGGTGGAGGCGTGCGGCTGCAGGTAGCGAGCGTGCGGGGCCAGGGAGGGGCAGCCGCGCCGAGGACCCTCTGCTGAACAGCAGCTGCGGGCCAGGCCTGTCACCGAGCGTGGGGGCAGGTCAGACTCTGGCCCCGCGCCCGTGTGGAGGAGAGAGAGCGCACGCTCGCACTCACACCTACTCTCACACCCACACACTCGTTCGCCCATGCACACATTTACCGTGACTGCACCCAAAGCCCCGGGTAGAGACGACCTGACGCCACGGAATGTCACCGCCGTGCGCCCTCTGCAGACAGACGGCCGTTGCGCCCACTGCCTCCTTTAGGGGGGGACGATGGTGTTTGTGTTCATGTGAAAATAGCAGACACTACATCCTGTAGGAACAGGGCAGGGCGCTGCGGGCTCCAGAAAGGGTGAACTAAAGGGGCACTTGCTTACGTTTCATCTCAGCCCTTTATGTTTCTGAGTGTGGGGCACGGGGGCTGGGGGGCTGCGTTCTGGGCGTTGCATCCGCGGACGGACAGGCGGGGGCCTTTGCGCAAGGTTTGCGGCGCCGGGAGGCCATTCGTTCCGGGAAGGAGCCGCTGCAAAGGCCTCATCTGTTTTCTTTGACTTTAAACACGGACCGAGCCCCTCAGTTTTGGAAGGGTTTGTCTGAGAGAGCACCTTGTGGAGCCTCCCAGATCTCTGCGAAGGTCAGCACCGTTCTTTAAAAAAAAAAAAATCATTTCTTATTGGGAATGATCTAGGAAGCAGAAAAAAATATTTTCCTTTGAGAGGGGGAGTGAAATTGGGAAGGGGTTTTAACCCACAAGGCCGGTCTGACATGAAGCTGGGGTGGGTGCACCTGCCAGGTTCTGCCAAGCCCCTTGGCTGGGGTCCCTCAGGACGAAGCGAGTGCGGAGTCTGGAGCGGGAAAGCTATGGCTCTTCCTGGAGACCTGCCGGACGTTTTCCTAGGCAGCTGCCAGGGAGGCTCCTAGGGCTGGAAAGAGGCAGCGGGGCGTCCTGGGCGGCTGGCCCCTGAGGAGGACGCAGGCGCTGCGCTCCGCTCCGCTCGCTGCGGGCGGGGCACAGCGCCTCCCAGGGCTCAGAGCGCCGGAGCGCCGCGGCTCAGAGCGCGCGGACCAGAGCTTGTGCTTAGCTGGCGGGTCTGGGGCGGCTTTTACCCGCGGTCGCTGCGCTGCTGCTGCTGTAGTGTTTGGCAGTGTGACCGTGACAGGAGATGGAGCCACACAGAAGTGGCTTCGTGAGCTTTCACCTCCCCAAAACCCAGCGGTTCCGAGCAGGAGGAAGGTGCCCCCCCACCCCTCCTTTCTCTGTCCAGGGCACCTGCGAGGTAGCTCCGGTGGCCCCTTCGGAAGGTCTGGGCCTTGGTGTCGGGGCCCAGAGGTGGAAGTCTATCTTCCAGGCCCTGGATTTTGGCCCCAAAGGGGCTTGTTGATGGTAGGCAATCCGTCTGTCCATGTGAAAGGGAGCTCACACCGCCACGGCCTTCGTAGTTTTATCTGGTTCGTTTCTGCCCGGGAGTCCTTTGTGGCCTGTGGAAGCGGTTGGGCGAGGGGAGGGAAATGAGCTGGGGGCCCTGCAGGGGGCCCTGCGGGGGGGGGGAGGGGCTCAGAGGGCACCTTGGGAAGCCCTGCATCCCTGCAGAGCGCTCCTGTCGGAGGCTGTGCTGGGTGCTCCCCTACAGGGTCCCTGAGGGTCATTCCTTCTACCCTCCTTGTCCCGGACACTGAGGTCCAGGGCCAGTTAAACACATTTTAATTGCCAGTGATTACATTCTGGTGGGGGGGGGGGAGGGGAGAGAGAGACAGAGACAGAGAGATGGAGAGATGAAAGGTTTAGATGCAGCTAATTTATTTAAGGGCCCCACCTGAGTCTTTGTTATCCTGTAACATTCCCCTAAAGGAAAAGAAAACACATTTATAATGGGAATTTATATGCTGTGGCTACGTGGGTAGCTATAAATAACCAGAAGACGCAACAGTCTCTTCAGGTTAAAACCAAAAAACTGCCCAAGTGGGTGCTACATTGCACCTCCATCCAGTCCGTGTCACGGCCTGGGCTGAGACGGCCTGGTTACGCTGCTGGGTTTTGCCAGAGAAGCTGCACTCTTTCTCTAAACTCTGATTTTAATACTGATTGTTGAGTGCTTGCTCTGGTATCCATCACAGGGAAGAATAAAAGGGGCAACAGTAGAAGTTTTAGAAAGAAGGTAATGAGAAACTATAGCTAAATATTATTTTGAAGAAATCCTAGGGTATTTACTATCTCTGGACAAAAGCAAACATTTTTTTATACTTTTTTAGGGACTAGAAAAAAAATTGAGCGTGGGAGAAAAATGTTGTGATTTAGCCTGAGCTTCTTATGGCAAGAAAAAAAAAAATCTCCATTTTCTTCATTTCCTCTTGCTGACCTCCTTCTACCAAGTGGTGTAGGAATAGGCCTCTTCTGGCACCCTGAGTCCAGGCTGCACCCAGGGCAGGGCTGGGGGAGGGTCCTAGGCCAGGGACAGTTCTATCCAAGGCCCCCAGGCCTTCAGGGTGTCCTCTGCTTTCCAAACAGAAGGAGTGCCTCCTGGGTTTCTGCTGGAGCTGCCGCCTGGAACCAGACCTGCGCGGTCCCATCCCACCTCTGCTCAGCCCTCTGACATCTCTGAGTTAAACGTAGATGGAGAGAGAGGGTGTTTCGCTCTGTGGAAATGACAGCAGGAGGGCCGCCCCATGTGGGGGCGGACAGGTTCCGGCTGCTGAGACACGGTGGGGCTAGACTAGCGCCCACAAGGTGTGGAGGAGGGATTCCACCAGCGTGTTTGGCAGTGCCCTGGACTGTCTGTGTGTCTGTCTGCCTTCTAGGCAAGGAGTGGGGCCGAGTCAGCCAGCTGGGAGCTCCAGGCCCACGGGTGGGAGAGCTGGCTGCTGGCAAGTGGAGTAAAAGGTGTTAGGGCTGTTAGTGAAGGCACCCTGCGCCCCTTCCCCCGAGTATTCCTCCTGAAGTAAATCAGAGGCTGTCATTTCGTGGGGGAGAACCGCGCATTTCAACCACTCCTCCTGTTGGAGAGGAAGGTTGGGCATCCCAGGCTGGGGAGCACAGGGCAGGCCAGCTGGGGTCCCAGGGGGGCTGGGGCTGTACCTGACAAACACCAGGATGGCCTGGTCACTGCTGCTGGAAGCCAGACCCCGATATTAAGGCAGGGTCCCACACTGGCAGGCAGCCATGTCCCTCGATGCCCAAAAGCTTTCCAAGTGTGAGTGGACTGGGTTCTCCCAGAGGGTGGCGGGCTTTGTCCCCTTAGCTCGGGCTTGAGCTGTGCCCCTTGATCACGCACACGCTGCCCTTCCCTCCACTGTCCTGGCATTTTATGGCTGCAGCGGCACGGGAAGGAGCAGAGGTGCGGACCGTGTGACGGAGGAGCTGAGCCCCCCAAACCCAGTGCAGGGATGTCTCCCAGGGCAGCCTTGGGAGGTGTCGGCAGGAGCGGGAGCCTTGCTCTCGGTGCCGAGGGTGCTGACCACCCTGTGGGGGTGGTGGGGGAAGAGTTCAAGCCCTACCCACCATTGACCCTGTCCGACGCTGCGTTCACGCTCAGAGAAGAAAACAGCTAGTTTTCTAGCTGCAGTCTGTCTGATTTCCTTCTTAAAGTAGGGAGACCACGGACTTCTTCCCCAGAGCGGCTCAAGCACAGAAACAGTCCGACTCTCCCAGTGCTTGAATCTAGTCTCCAGACACGGAGGTCGGGGGACAGAGAGCACCACAGCTGTGTCTGGGCCCCTCAAGTTGTTGAGGGCCCTGCCGGCTCCCGTGAGACCGTGTGAGTGGGGTTACAGAGCCTCCCCAGGCCGGAAAGCGGGGCCCTTTCGGTGGGGCGCCAGGTGGGCCTGGGGTGGGGGCTGGAGGCTGTGGGGCGCAGCAGACTGTCGGAGGGGGGGAAGGGCCCGCAGTGGCTTCTCAGAGAGGGTCTGGGGTGGGAAGGGAGGAGAGTCAGTGGGCAAGTACACCCAGCAGTTGGAACATGTCGGGAGGGAGTGAGAAGTAACCAGATCCCCCCGAGGGGTGTCTGAGTGGCACTCCAGCCCCAGCCCACGGTGGGCTTCTGCGTGCCCAGGAGTGACCTGCCCTGTGTGGCCACCTGCCCGCCTCCCAGCTGAGAGGTCACTTCTCGCCCCGAAGCCTCAGCCTGGTCCCAGGGCCCCAGGATCCTGCCTTGTCCAGAGGCTCACTCACAGGGTCAGAGGCAGAGCAGCAGCTGTGACCGCTCCTGGACGAGGCCCCCTCCTGATCCCCGTGCCAGGGCCACCTCGCACAAGTGTCACAGCTCTTTCATGTGTGTGTGTCCCTTATACTCTCAGCCTCTGTCGGTGCTTGGTGGGTGCTGCTTTGATTTCCACCTGGGGCAAGGCAGGTGCCGGCGTGGCCAGGCCCCGAGGGTGGGGCTCAGCTCTGCAAAGCCAGACCTTCGCCGTGTCTCCAGTGGGGGGCACTGTCAGCCCAGCTCCAGTGCCCCGTGCTCACACAGTGATGGGTAGAGCCACCTCGGGCCGGGACTGTCCTGGGAACAGGTCCTGGGAGGGCTCCCTGCTCCGGCTGGTGCCTCTGTGCGGCAGCAGAGGAGAGAACAGTCTGTGCCTTCCTGGCAGCCCAGGCAGGGACCTGGGGCTCTCCCAAAGGGTGGACTGCTCCCCCAGGTCCCCAGCAGGTCTCCATCCCCTGCTCAGCCACCTCATTGCCATGGCTATGTCCGGTCTAGCTTGCGGGGGAGGGAGCCAGGGGGAGGCGCCGGGAGAGCTCCTCTTTCTCTTCTTTCAGATGGCCTGGACATGGGGGCAGAGGTTAGCATTAAGAAACACTAGAAGGGGGACGTGGAAACGATGCTATTTCTACTTTCTCAGACAGCTGGGCCTTTTGCACCTGGAGCCTTCCGGCCACTCGGGCTGGAGCAGGCTTTCCCCCTGGTGCTGGGCTCTCACCGGGGGCCGGAGTGTGGAACTGCACAAAGCATGTCCCTTGCAAGGAGGCTGCAGGCGAGAGGAGCCTGTTCTCGCCAGGAGGGCCACACTTTCCGTCCCTGGAGAGCCACTTGCGTGGATGTGGCTATGGGGAGAGGCTTGGGAGTTAGTTGGCTTCCATCGTCCGGGGCAGGGGAGGGGGCTGAGGGCTTCACACCTGCCGTGGGGGCTGCATTCGTTCAGGGTTCGGGGATGTCTTCTGCTCCCGATGTTCATGCGCCAGCATCTCCATGGTCACAGGTGCAGGTGCTGGGCCTGCAGCGGGCCTGGGACTCGGCCCTGGGATCTCCCGGCCAGCAAAGGTATGGGCTGGCGCCTCATGGCAGCAGGAGCCACAGTCACAGCAGAGCAACCCGGGACATAGCAGTCGGAGGGGCGAGGTCCCCGAAAAGGAGTTTGCGTTTCAGGTCACGCTTGTATTCAAAAGTACACAGTCAGTGGGCGATGGTTGACTCCCCCATCGTGTAGGCCTCCCGGGGCAGCCCTGCTCGCCCCTCGCCGCATCTGTGCAGGCGGGAGAAAGCATTGCTTTTTCTCACGTGCACCCCTCCCATGGTGAGAGGGCCTCGGGGTCCGTGGCCACTCCCGAGGGCGGTGAGTCTGCGGTCAGGTGAGTCTGCTGGCAGGACAGCTCAGAGCGCTGGGGTCTGCAGCACAGCGGGTGCTTTTTTTTTTGTCTGACAAGCTTTCTTCTGCAGCAACTTTGATGATTTTTTCCTAATGGGATGTGAAATAAATTGTCTAGAAAAGCAAGGAAAAGCTTCTGACAGCTGAACCCCCAGCTCCTCTAGGCTGGGCTGTAGAGACCTGCGTGGAGGTGGCCAGCCGTTCACTTTTGCCTTTCTCTTCTCGCCCCCCCTCTGAGTGACTGGCGAACAGGCGGTGGTGAGGCCGCGGCTGCAGGCCTGGCTGGGCAGGAGGTGGGCGGGGGGCTGTCTTCTGTGCAGAGTCACCTCTGAGCGGCTCCAGCTGGCCAGCGCTGGCAGCCACCACGCCCCACTG